TTTTCAAATAAAATAGTATACACAAATCTAAAAGAAGAAGATAAGCCCAATAAGCCTGTTTTCTACCATTGCATGGAGCCGTCAAAACGGGCTGAACCCATCGGGCCAGCCCTTTTAAACCCTTTTAAGTAGAGGGCCGGGCTTGTATTTTAGGTGGTTTAAAAAAAAATGGGCTTAAAAGGGCTAGCCTATAGGGCTCAAAATAAAAGGGCCAACCTTTAGGGCCAAGGGCCAGCCCTTTTAAACCCGCCTATTTTTTTATTATTATCAATATATTTATAAAGTTATATATTAGTCTTTTATGAATAAGTTTAAATTAGAAAAATACTTAGAAGAATTAATTCTCAAGCTAGATAATTGAAAAGAATTAGATGTCTTCGATTTGTGGAAGAATAATTAAAATCAATTTTTAATTCTTTCAAAAATGGTAGCTGATATTCTTAACATTTTAATCACCATAATAGCTAGTAGATCTTCATTTACTATCGGTTTACATATTAACAAAGTTGTAAAACTTTCTTATTCGAAGAAATGTTCAGGCTCTTATTTGTACTTATAATTACTGTATAGTTTTATTTTAAATAAGGTAATGAAGACAAAAACCTTAATATTTATCACTGAAGAAGAGCTCACTTGTAGCAAAGAACAATCAAATATTGCTGATCTTGATGATACTGATGAAGATGATGATAAAGATAATAATTATGTTGATATTGTTAATCTTAACTGCTAGATTTTATCTTTCTGTTTTTCGTGTTTTGTTAGATTTTGATTTTTTTTTAAATTTGGATAATAGTTTATGGCATTTAATTTTTTTTCTATACACCACTAATTATTACTTATATTATAATTTGAATAAAAAATCTTAGAAGTTTGTTGTTTTATTTTTTATTTTAAAATAATTAAAAAGAATTTAAATTTAAAAAAAAACAAAAGGGCTAGCCCTTTTTAAGCCCTGAGCCCACATGTCCAAGGGCTGGGCTTTAATAATAGATAATTTTAAGGTATGTGGGCTTAAAGGCCGGCCCTTTTAGGACCTGGCCCTTCAAGGGCTAGCTCTTTAGGGCCGGGCTGGCCCTTATTGACAGCTCTAAAGAATGCATTGGAATTATTATGGTGACAAATAGAATAACGAAGCATAGGAATCAAAAGTAAAATCACTGGCCACCATTCTTGGTTACATTTTCTGGTTACATTTGAAATAGAATATTAAGTGTCACTTTCCAACAACCACATGTTGATTAATTTATATGAAGATTGTATTAAATATTTGAAACATCATGTTTAACAAGAACCTTTTAAATCAAAAAAAAATAACAATATTGTTTTATCAAATTTTATTTTTCCAAAGCATCCATATTTCTTCTTGTCGTTCAAACTAGGTGGACTCATAAAATTTGATACATTAGTCATCACGTTTGACTTGTGAACCACATTGCATATATAAATTTTAATCCTAAACATAAATTTAAGTTATAATTATGAGCATCACACATGAAAAAAATTGGTTAAGCTAGTCCTTCGAATTGATTTTTTTCCTAGTTTATTAATTAATAAGTAGTAATAATTCATTCTTTGCTTATTGCTTCTAAAAAACAAGGAGTTAATGATAAATAAGGATATTTATGAAAAATGAGTATTTAATACTATGGACACAAGTTTTATATATATATATATATATAAAAAATATGTTTGCATACAGGTATTTTTAGCAGAAATTCGTTTTGGAACACACCAATCTCTTGTTAATTAGCAGAAATTTTAATATTATTGGTTCGTCTTCTTTACAATCTAAACCCCCATGATAATGGTATTTATATTTCAAACTAAAATTATGAGAAAATTGACTTGACCTATTAAAATGACTTGGCCTATCTGAGTTGGAGGAGAGAACAAAGCTACACGATCTATATATGAAGTGTATATAATACGAACACGACTCATTCATCCCAACAATAATCTAGGATTTCACTACTAGGATGCAATAATTTTGGTCAGAATGTCATCATTGGCAGCATTGATACTGGTAATATAATTCCTTCTATATATCAATTATGTCTGTATATATTCTGCCATAAGCTTTTGATTGTCCTATTAGAGCAAATGTGAGTTAATTTGTGTTGTATTCCCATTCTATATATAGAATGGATCTTATGTGCAGGAGTTGGTTGGCAACCTGAGAACAGTATTAGATAAAATCCTCTTATATCCTCGCGCATGTTTACCTGTAAAGTCACTTTTAAAAAGCTAATATAAACACCCTCGTAAGCAATTTTTTGTTGTTTGAAAATTTAATACGCTTTTTTTATTTTTATGCCTAACAAATCCCATTTAGTATCTCTCACTCTTTCCTCACTTATTCTGTCCCTCACTCACCATCTTCATGAATAAAGGTATTTTTAAAAAACAAAATTATATTTCTTATATATTTATTACTTTTAACTAATTTGAATTAACATTTTGATTTACGTATATTTTTTAATAGTTGTTGTGCATACATATATAAAAGACTGAAAGGAGTATTAATTAATTTTTTAAATATAATTTTATTTTAATTTAATAGAAGAAGACTCAGGTTAATGTAGTATTTGTTTGTATATTTTTAAATCAAGGTAAAATTCAAAAAAAAAAAATATACAGTTTGAGATAAAGTTAATAAGTTTCCAAATTTGCCTCGACAGGTGTTTGGCCAGAATCGAGAAGCTTCCGAGACAATGGATACAGACCAATACCAAGGAAGTGGCGCGGCGGATCCAAATGTGAGCTGTTCAGTTTGTCTGGCATTGCAAACAGAACTCTTTGCAACAGGTTCCATTTTTATTTATTTATTTATTTTGCTAATTTAATTTGAATGCTTGCTTTAAAAACCTTATTAATTTCATTACCAAAATTATAGCGACAAGGAAACGGACAATTCGTCAATAGGGTTACTAAGAACCTGTGATATGGCAGTGTGTGCAAGAAACTGCGATATCGATGTCTCACCATCTATCAAATATATCGAAATGTAATGTATCTACCTTACCTCCCAGAACAAAAGAATAAAATATATACACTCATCTAATTCTTGATATAAAATCTAATTGTTGAGTTGATTTTGGTTCTAAATATAAGACTTATTTTTTATATTTATCAGTTTTTCCTAAATTACCTCTATAGATACTCCCTCAACCATAATCAAGTAGAAGAAAGAGGGCGAATATTAAAAAAGATGATTACGGTGTTTTAGAAAAAACATGTTATATTTCTGATAATTAATTAACTTATTTAACTTTCTTAATCTAATCAAATTAATTAAATATATTTTATATTAAGAATCGGAGAATATATATATGTTTAAATATAATATTCCCCCAGTCTTTAATATATGACCTAATTATTGAGTTGATTTTGGTCCTAAATATAAGACCCATTTCTCATATTTATCAATTTTCTCTAAATTACCCCTATGGATACTCCCTCAACCATAATCAACTAGAAGATGAAGAGATGATATTAAGAAAATAATTATAGTTTTAAGAAAAACGTGTCACATTCTTATAATTAACTAACTTACCTAACTTTCTTAATCTAATAAAATTAATTAAATAAGTCTTATATTAAGGATTGGAAGAGTACATGACATAGAGGAAGTAAGGAAGAATTGGACGATCCACGATTGGTTCGTCTCAATGGGGATCACATGGGCTGCCATGGGCTCACGACTTCCAACTATTTTTAGACGTTTCTTTATTTTGTTTGTAAAAACAATTTCAATATTAATTTTAGCCCCTCATATTCTATGAAATTTTCAATTTTACCTCCCATCATGTGTGTCTCTTTAGAGCCATCTCCATCACCAAATCATCTTAGATTATATATATCAAGATTAGAGGCCAGATCTACAATTTTTATATCATTATCTGACTAAATCAGATTCAAACAGTATCAGGCTCAAATATGAATATATATAAACTCAAATTCGAAACTTAGTGTTCAAGTAATCAAAGCCTCTCCCACTAAAAGCAACTCATGTTGGTTCAATGTACAATAAATATAAAAACCGTATATGCCAACCCTAATTTTTGTGTGTGTTGATACAACCATTTTACATGAGTTTCAATCACTGTCAAGTCAATCAAATTTATTTTATATGACTCAATTATGGTTAGTTACTATTGTTATAATTTCATGGTTAAAAAAACACTATTCTTATCATTTTTATTGTTATTTATTTTATTTAGGCACACATGCGGTAAGCCAATTTTTTCACATTTAAAATTTCTGTCGTTACTTTTTCGGCCAAAAAAATTTTCTGCCGTTACTTTTAATTATTTTAATTTCTTTCAATTTTACAAAAATTATTAAAAAAATCAAAATTCCTCCAACACAAGTCACAAACATTTCACTATTGTTCAATTTAATTTTCTCCAATTAAAATACCACCCATTAACTTATTTATAGACACAAATTCCAAAATTAAATAAGAAGAAAATCTCTATCTCTATATCCACATATATGCTCACGTTCTATGTAACACGATGAAACAGGAAGATAATAGGAGCAAAAACCTTCTTTCAAGGCTACGAAACAAAAAACGGACCCCTTAGCTCATCAACTGGAATCAGTGCCCGTGACACTGTTGGCCATGGAAACGCATACTTTGTCAACGGCCGGCGGCGACTTTGTGAGAGATGTCAGCGTTCTCCGAAATGGCAACGGCACTGCAAAAGGAGGATCTCCAAAAGCCCGACTTGCAGTGTACAAAGTATGCTGGGGCCGTGGTAATTCTGAAGAGTGCACTGATGAAGACTTGATTAAAGCTTTTGATGAAGCCATCCATGATGGTGTCGATGTGCTCTCTGTTTCGATCGGCCGCAGCGCCGTCCCAAATGTCAACGACATGTTGACCAATGGGATCTCCATTGGATCCTTTCATGCAGTTTCAAGAGGGGTTCTAGTTGTTGCCTCTGCTGGTAACGATGGACCTGAGCTTCAAACTGTATCCAATGTGGCACCTTGGATCTTCACTATTGCTTCTGGCTCCATTGACAGAGACTTCAGTAATAATATTACTCTCAGTAATGGCCAACGCATGAAGGTATTCGCCTATAAAATCAATATCAATATCAGCATATATATATATAGAGAGAGAGAGAGAGAGAGAGAAGAAGCAATAACAAGATTAATCAAGTAACACAACAAGAAAATAGAACCAATGTGATATTATGCTTTTGATTGATTGTTTCTAATAACTTGGACAATCAGGGGACCAGTCTTGCCACAAACTCAACATCACGACAGTTAGTTCCTGTGCTAATTGCTGGTAATGCTAGGCTTCCTAATGTGACATTTGACGATGCGTAAGAACAAAATTACCCATTCTTGAATAGATTTTGAGTTTGTGTTGAACTATCATATGTTTATATGTCAGTATGAGTAAAACATTTTGGCTCCTATTGCAGGGATCATTGCAAACCTGGAACACTTGATCCAAACAAAGTAAGAGGCAGTATATTGGTATGCCGGAGAGGAAGGAGCCTAAGGCCTGTGGACAAGGGACAAGAGGCAAAGCGTGCAGGTGCTTTGAAAATGATTTTGCAGAATGATAAGGAATTGAATACAGCTACAGCTGATGCTCAAGTTATAGATACTTCCAATGTTCCAACATATCAACCTCCAAAAAAGAATAAAAATATATCCCAGCAGGACAAAAATCCTTTTGACGTCAAGTAATTATTATACATCTTTCTCATTTACTAATCCTTTTGAAATTCTTCTGAAATTATTTGTGATAACAGGGTTAAATTCACACATACATTGTAGGAACCTTACTGCATTCTTGAATAACGCAAAAACATTTATCCCAGTAAAGCCAGCTCCAAAAGTTTCAGCATTCTCATCCAGGGGACCCAACTTGATTCTGCCGTCAATCCTCAAGGTTATCCCTTCTCAAACAATCTATTTTCCCTAAATCAACTACATGGTTCCAGAGTTTCTAACATTCCTAACAAATTTTTTTTCCCAATTTTAGCCTGATGTAACTGCACCAGGTCAGGATATAATTGCCGCTTATTCATCAGGGGCAAGTCCCACCAACCTAGATTTAGATGTAGGTCGCTTTGACTATAACATTCTATCAGGAACCTCCATGGCATGTCCTCATGTTGCCGGCATTGCTGGCCTTCTCAAAAATCGCCATCCTACATGGAGTCCAGCTGCTATCAAATCAGCAATTATGACCACAGGTATGACATACATTAAGTGCTATTATTATGTGTTTACAGTTTCCTTCTTTTGTTTCCTTACTAATTGAAGCATTTCTAAAATCTATGCTCATCCAGCAACCACCCAGGATAACGCCAATGGGCCAATTCTAGATGAAAATGATGATGAAGTAGCAACTCCATTTCATTATGGTTCAGGACACATAAAACCTAACCTTGCAATGGACCCTGGACTTGTTTATGATTTGAAGGCTTCTGATTACCTAAACATGTTATGTGCTTCAGCTTATGAGGAAAGAATAGTTGAATCCATTAATAATAATAAGCCATACAAATGTCCAAGGTCTTACAGACTAGAAGATTTCAACTACCCTTCTATCACATTGCCTTTTCTGAGTGTGAAACCTATAAATGTTACTCGCACAGTAACAAATGTTGGGCCTCCAAGTACGTATACTGTAAATGTCAAAGCCCCAGCAGGAGTTGAAGTTGTTGTTCTTCCAACAACTTTGACATTTCAGGGGACAAACCAAAAGAAGAGCTATCAGGTTATTTTTCAAGCAACACGTTCAGCCAAAACTTCAGAGCCTTCATTTGGAGAGTTGACATGGACAGATGGCAAGCACAAAGTTAGAAGTCCTATAGTAATCCCTCAACATGCAAAAATGGCTCTGTAGATTTCAATGTTACCAATCCAGTGTGTTGTGTGTTAATCAGATAGTGAGAGGTAGTGTTAGAGTGACTGTTTTCAGATGTGTGGATATGCTGAACTATGTTATAATTTAAAAATGACGGTTCCTACCAGAAAATAAACCCGCTAGGTCCTCCCAAGCAACTTCAACTTCTGATTTACTGCTTTGGTTTCTACTTTCTTCTATTTGAATCCTATTGGGTTTCCATTTTGCCCCCGTTTTGTTGAATCATGTGTTGGTCTTTCATCTGCAGAAAAATGATACTGTCCACTTATTTTGAAGTACATAAAGCACATATTAGCCCATATAAAAGGCAACTTTGAAAATAATCTTATTGAGAAATAGATCAATCATCCTCCTGCACAAGATTTGGTGAGAGCAAAGAAACAAGCCTCACTATCCACTTAACTCGTTATTCTTGGCAATCATTATTTGAGATGCAAATAAGATCCGTAATGACCGGCTATTTGACCTAGTAATTTATACCATTCAAATCCAAATATAAAGGCAAAGTAAACCAAATGATATATCTGGTTAAATTCTGTTATGACGCCTGTCCCTAAATTATATTCATGTGAAACAGAGCTAGTTAATATACAAGGATTCAATGCAAATAGCAATCGAAGAATTACACTGCCATAACCTATTTAAGAAATTGAATATACTCAGATCATTAAGTTCGCTAAGAAGCTTAGAAACAAAGAAGCATAACCCATTTCAACGACACAGTAATTATCAAACGATACTCTTGTCACTGTTTACCCTTGATTTTGAGCTAAGCGGCGACACCATAGAAGCTTAGGTCAACAGCAGTGGCGCAATTGCTCGATTCAACGACAGATTAGGAGTGTCTACGGTCGATTGAGAATATCGGGAGGAATGCCCTGGAGAACGTGGAGGCAGAGGTTCAACTAGAAAATTTGTATATATTTTCTAGAAAAACATAAATTTTATTTTTGTTTGTACATGAAAAGAAAAAATCAGAGTTCTTTTAAAACAACAAAGTTGATTTAATTTAGCCTAATTTTAAATTTTTATAAAATATTGAAGTTGCCTTTTTTTTTGAAAAAAATAAGTTTTAAGTTCGTGAGAAATCTTTTTTGTGAAAAAAGAACCTGAAATTAGAAGAAAATTTAAATTATTTTAAAAATGACTATCAACTTTTTGTTAAAGAAATTCAAGTGCATTAGGTTTGGCCCAGACCCACCACGTCTAGGTATGCCTTGTGAGAATATTTAGAAATTGCTCATAAAAATTTTACATTAATCATACACTTTTTTTATAAAGTATGATTTGCATTTGCATCAAGATAATTTATATAATCAATTAAAGTAATTTTACTAGCAATAAATTCCTTAGATAGCACCATGTCGTTTCTTATATGCTAAAGCTACAATGCCACACTACCATAACACTAAAAATGTACTTAATGACACTAGAATGGAGTGAAATTAAATTTTTTTTAAAAGTAAAAAAAATCATAAATTTAATTCTACTTGTAATCTCAAATTATTGGTATCTATCATTTTGAAATTAAAAGAAAAAACACTGTTGTGATAGATGTGGTCCACCTTAAAGGTTCATCCGTAGAAAAACAAAATAATTTGACAATATTTATAACTTTGTCAAATTTTAAAAAGTTATGGTGCCAGATGTATCCGAAAAAATACGTCGAATTGTTGGATGTACTTTAACCTAATTTAAATTATAACTCTATACTTTTTTCTTTATTGGATCTTTATTGGTGTTGGTTCTTTAATTGTTACAGTGTTCTTATATTTTATTTATGGGCGATGTGGCATTGACCATGCAAATTCTCCACCCCTCCTTCACTCACTTTTAAAGTGAATATTTTTTTCAGTTCTAAAAATTTGACCACGAGTTTTAGTTGTGTTCCTTAAAATTTAAAATAAATGATTTTGATTTCCTAAAATTTAACTTCATTTTGGTTTTAATTTTTAAAATTTGACTACATTTTAGTTTGCCTAAAAATTTGTGGTTCCTATTGAAACCTTATTTTGAGGATCTAAACCAGAGTGATATCAAATTCAGGGACTAAAAATAATATATTAACTCAAAAAAAAATATCATGTGACTTAATTTATGAAATAAATTTAACCACAAAAATAACAATGATGGATTAATTTTGAATGGCGATAATTATTTTTTGGATATGATTCACATGAGCACGATGTACGATCACGTGGGATGATTATTGTATTGTTTATACCCGTAAAATAATTTATAAATTAAAGGTGCTTGATTCTATCATTACCTAACAGATTACTAAATACATTGCAACAATGAACATTATTGCCGGCTGGTTAACGTCACTAATAATTATATACTGTCATTTTAAGTAGAGCACAACATTTTAAGATTTTTAGGATACCTCACAAATTTTTGGGGTAAAACATTAGGCAGTGTCAAATCTCATACACAAACACGAACAAGAATGATAATCATTTCTATTATTCTATAAGAGTGAAAAATACTACATGCGGTTATTATTAATATAAAACCTTGTTTAATTTTTATTTTAGTTCTAAATATATTGTTCTAGTTTATTTTGTCTCTCATATTTATGTATTTTTTTTCAAACTAATCTTTCTAATAATAGTAGTTTTAGCTAAGACACTTGATTAGTATGAATATTTTAGAAAAAATAACATCTATTTATTACAAACAATCTACTCAAATTAATTAATTAACTCTTATATTAAGGATTGGAGGTTGGAGGTAGTATAATGCTCAAAGCAAACATTCACTTTTATTCAAGCCACAAACTGACCCTACATATGGTACATATGATATTTTGAGAGCTTACAATTAGAATGTTCATCAACATGTCAAGAGAGACGCAAATGACTAAGGAGTTTAATCATTCATTAGTTGTCTAATTGTGACCGTGACAAATGGTTCTTCCATGTGAGGCTTTGGTCGCCGATCAAGCTTCATAGATACTTGTTCCATGGTTGGACGAGACTGAGGATTCTCATTCAAACAAGAAAATGCTATTTTTGCAACTGCAATAACCTCGTCAAGGATTGATTTCCTAGGCGGTGAAAGTCGTGGGTCCAACATATCCTTTAATAGCAAATCATACGCGGTTGATTTTTCCATCAAAGATGAAATAAGCTCTCCTGGATGTATTCCCATAATTATCTCTAAAGTCAACACTGCAAAGCTGTAAACATCACATTTCTCGTTTGCTTCCATAATATATGCAATCTCTGCAATAGTTTTAATGTTAACAACCTTAATATAACAAAGAGTAGTAGTAGAATATTTTAGAAGAAAACAAAAAAGAAAAATTGGACTTACCTGGAGCAGCATACCCGAAGGTACCAACGAATGTGGTCACATTTTTTGAGTCAGGATTGAGAAACTTCGCTCCTCCAAAGTCAATGAGCCGAGCTTCTTCATATTCTATAGTTAGAAGAACATTCTTGCTTGATATGTCACGATGAACAATAGGAATTGAACAGCCATGATGCATATGGAATAAAGCACTGGCGACACCTCTAACAACATTCACTCTCTTTTTCCAATCAAGCTTAGTGGCTTGGTTCTCATTCTTTAGTATGTTGTCCAAGCTGCCACCTTCCAAGAACTCATAGACCAAAAAAGAGAATCGTGGATTGGAACAAAAACCATACAACTTCACAATGTTACGATGTTTGATTTCTATCAAAGCACGAATCTCACTTGTGAAAGCTTTCTCGCTGAAGATTTCTCCACTGGGTAAGGAATGAAGCTTTTTTACAGCAAAAATATCACCTGTTGGTAACTCTGCCTTGTAAACACTTCCTTGGCCACCTTTCCCAATGAGATATCTATCATCAAAGTGCATTGTGGCTTCGATGATATTTTCATACAATATTTCTCTATTGGAACTCCATACAAAATAAATGTCCTGTGATTGTGCTTTTTCATCTTTGTTTTTTGCTTTTCTTGTGCATAGGAAAAAAATACAAGAAGCTCCAACTACTACTAGTACTAGTAGTATGGCCAATAAGAGGAGTATCTTCAATAAGATTTTGCTCTTACCACGCATTTGAGAATTACTGCAAGGATGTAAACCAGTGACGTTACCGCACAAACCTTTATTATTCTTCAATCCTTCAAATATTTGAAAGACTGGTTTGTTTGGAACGGGGCCTTCTAATTGATTGTTTGATAAGTCAACAGTAGTCAAAGCTGACATTGATCTGCTAAAACTAGAAGGAATGGTGCTAGTGAGATCATTATGTGAGAGGTTCAATACTTGCAATTTGGGTAACATTCCAAGCACTGATGGTATTGTTCCATTGAGCAAATTGTCACTAAGATCAAGTTGTTCAAGCTCCTGGAGTTGACCGAACTCAAGGGGAATGCTTTCATCAAATTTGTTTCTGCTCAAGTTCAAGAACTTTAAGTTTTTTAGTTCCCCAAGCTCTCTTGTGATTAAGCCATAGAAATTATTTGTGGCCAACTCCAATGTTTCAAGTTGACTAAGTGATCTTATATTTGAGGGGACGTTACCAGAGAAGTTATTGTGGCTCAAAAAGAGTTTTGTCAACATTATCAACTTGCCTAGTTCTTTTGGGATTTGTCCAGACAAATGATTTGAAGACAAGTCAAGTTCAACAAGCTTAGCTGCCTCCCCCATCTCTGATGGTATTTCACCAGAAAGGTTGTTATTGTGAATAAACAATTGTTTAAGATTTCGACACTTCCCCCACTTGGATGAAAGGTAACCATACAATTTATTTCCACTTAGATCAATGAAGTCCAAATAAGGATATACTCCAAAAGCATATGTTATATTGTCAGTTAGTTGGTTACCTTGAAGCTTGAGTCTTTCTAGACTAGAACAGTTCTTCAAACTAGTTGGAATGGGACCCATGAACTGGTTATTTTGAGCTACAAACCTATATAACTTCCCATCCTGACAAATCTGTTGTGGTAATTGGCCTTGGAAATGATTATCACCCAGTTGTAAATTGTGCCAAGTTATGTTATTCATTTCTCCTGGAAGGTGACCACTAAGATTGTTCTCCATCAATAATAGAGTGTTGAGCTTTGGCAAATTTCCTATAGTGGAAGGAATAGATCCTGAAAGGTTGTTATGATCTAGATAGATTTCTTGTAAATTGATCAAGTTTCCAATGGATTGAGGAATTGAACCAGAAAGATTGTTATTCGACAAGACCAACTCCTCAAGACCTATCAAGTTCCCCATAGAGGGAGGGATTGACCCATAAAGTTTATTGCTTTCTAAATAAATTGTCGTGAGAGAATTGAGTTTTCCAATTTCATTTGGTATAGGACCAAAGAGATTGCAAAAATCAATATAAAGTTCTTGTAACATGTTCAAGTTTCCAATTGATGATGGGATTCTACCAGATAACATGGAGTTTTTGGCCAAATCAAGTAGTAAAAGATCACTCAACATTCCAATCTCTTCTGGAATGGAACCAGAAAGAGAATTTTGACCAAGCACCAGATCCGTTAGGTTCCTCAAGTTCCCAATTTCACTAGGAATTCTATCCGTGAGCTTACATGCACTAAGATCAAGAACACTGAGAGTGCTCAAAGCTCCTACTTCTTTAGGAATGGGACCAGTAATTGAAGGATTCTCTGACAAATCAAACTTCAAAATACTGGACAAGTTACCAATCTCTTGGGGAATGTTGCCATAGAAGTGGTTGTAACTCAGGTCAAAATATTGCAGACTAGGAAACGAAGCAAAGCTGAGATAGCGAAGTTTACCTTGAAGGCTAAGATTTGACAGTCTTATACTGATCACCGACACGGATTCTTCATCACATGAAATTCCCTTCCAGTTTCTGCAAAGATCAGTGCCATTACTGTTCCATGAAGACAATGTCGCTTGGCTTTGTTTGGTAAGGCTCGCTTTCCAGTTCAGCAGAGCTTTGGCTTCGCCAACCTCAATAGCAGAAGCAGCAGAAAATGCAAGTGAAGCAACAATGCAGAAGAATATGGAGAGAATAGTACCCCGTAATGATGGAAGCCTAGAGGAGTATTCGCTTTCGGGCATGGTTGTTCTGGTGAATTATTGAAGTGATCAGGTTTCAGTAAATGATGGGTGAGTACGTGTGAAGCCTGGGACGATCACAAGATGATGATTATGCAGAACTTCCGATCCTATATAAATCGCTCATCATGGCGATGTTGTTTCCATGTCACTTTCAAACTTCTTGAGACAAAATTTTCCATGACAAATAACCCACATTTGAGCTTCCTCAATTTTTTGTTACTCCAATATAACCCAACAAACCCGTATACTCATTGCAAGCTTATTCTAATTTTTCCTATAAATTCTCATTAATCATCATCAAACTTAGTAAAGATGGGAAACTTGAGATAATTTCCTAATGCCTACCAAATAAAATAAAATAAAATGTCTCTACCTCACTATTTCCTTTTTCTAAACACATCTTTTCAATCTACCAAAATATTTTTAGTGCTTTTTTTCTTTTTGAGATCCCTCGTGTCAGTCCTACTTCTTTAGAATTTCATAATAGATTTTGGGTCATTTGGAATGATTTGGAAATAACTTTTTAATTCTGATTTACATAATACAAGGTAAATATGTTAAAAAAATTTTTATCTCAACTTATATAAAACATACTTATAAGTATTAATAATCACCAACCCAAACTAGGCTTTTATTGAAATGGGGTAATTCTGAAGTTAGTTAACACACACATACACACACAAAATAGTTAACTACACTTTAATTGACACCCACAAAAATGAGACTCTTGTCTCTTCTTGCTAAACCAGAAAATAAACATTTAAAATAAATAAACAGTACTTATTTTATGTCCATCTGTTATTGTTTTCTCTCTACTTCTCTCCTGAACTAAATAAAAATAGCATTAAAATAACTTTTTCCATTCTCTTTTTTCTAATCCAAAGGTAGTATTGAATTCTCTCCTTTCTCCTTCATTATTAGGATTCAGAGGTTCATAATAATAATAACACGTGAAAGCAGAACAACCACAGTTGAATTATTCGCTCAAAACTTAAAAAAAAATGTTTGGGAATTTAGAAAAGTGCTTTTTAAAAATATTTTTCTGTAAATCGAGATAAACTCCTCCACATATTTATTTCGTACGCCGTAAAATAATTTCTGAAACTATAATTTGGTTTATATCTAAACACATTCTTAAATAAGTAAGTGAATTTTATATGAATATATCTAATAGAGTCTGTTATTTAAAAATCACACTAAGAGAGGTTTTTATTATTTGGGATTTGACATGGCTCGCACAACGTTGTAAGAAAAAGGAAAAAGAAAAAAGGACAACAACATTTTTTATCCCTTGGATCAGCACAGATTTAGTCCTGTCCTGATTTCTATCACTTCTGCAATAGCCATGTGCCTTCTCACTATCATAATCATAAATATGCATATGTTTTTTTTTTGGGTAAAAACACAAACATGCACCTTTAAATTTAAAAATAGTTAAATCATCCATTTGATGCTTTAATTATCTATATATTAGATTTTAATCTGGTCTCTTAAATTTGAAAAATTAAATTTTTAATCATTTAATCCTAAAATTATTAAAAAAATAATAACATTAAGATCTTAAATATTGATAAAGTATTTTTAAATGCTAACATATATCAAATTTAATTTTCATAGCAATTATAACTATTACCAATATTATTATCTAAGCTTAACAATTTTAGAATTGAAGGATCAAGGTTAAGATTTTTTAAAATTAAATGACCAAATTCATACTTTAGTTTTTAAAAATTTAGTTAGCTCTTCATTTTCCAAATTTATTTCGATTTCAAACGAAAAAGTATGATATATAAGAACAAAATTTTAATAAAAATTTTAAAAGCATTAATCAATTAATTTTAAAAAAATGATAAATTTCTGTTTTGAATTTTGTTCATATTGATAAATATGTGTGGGTGTTGAAATGGAACGCAAAATAAAACGAGGCCTTACGCTTTGCAGAATTACAGCTCACCATCAATAAACTCGGCTCACTGAGCTCACTCTCAAGCAGGGACGTTCACATGGCACACTTTGGGACCGCTGCATGGATTCAAGTATCACTTCGCTCTTTATTATAGATCACATGTAATGTATTTTTACATGTTAAAGAATAAACTGAAAAAAAAATTAATTTTATTCTGATAAAAAAATTTCTTCTATATTTGCTGATTATTTTCATATATGTTTTTTTTCACTCTTTTCAATCATAATCAAATAAAGATAAAATTAGAAAAGAAGCATTAAATATACTACAAATGACTTATATTTAGGATTAATATTTTTTTATCAATAACTTATATTTAGACTGGATTGGTATAATTTGGAACCAAAATATTCTAAAATTATAATTGAAAAAACTAAAGGTTTTTGTAACCAAACATGATTTTTATTATCTTCTTGTTTTAGAGGGTGTTTAGAAACTCAAAAAGCACTTTTAAAAAATACTTTCATGTAAATCAAGGTAAAACTCTTTTTATATAGTTATTTTGTATATCATAAAATTATTATTAAAATTATAATTTGATTTCTACCAAAAACATCCTATTGTAAGTTGAAAGATAAGTTGTAACTAGTAAATTGTTACTCTATGTATATCCTTCATGATAAATTCCAAACAAGGGGAAGAAAAATCATTTTATGGGTATCTATACTTTTTTTAATTTTTAATTTAGTATTGTGTTATTTTCTCTCTCTATTAAAGGAAAAAATGCAATAAGGTTAATTTCATGAAAAAATATATTAAAAAATCACATAATAACTAAACAATTTGTAATAACAAATTTCAGAATAAAAAATAGGGTTAAGATACATCCAGTACTTCGAAATATTTTTTTGGATGCATCTAACACTCTAAAGTACTTTGTGGTGTGTCCAGTACCCTGAAATATTTTTTTAGGTATGTTCAATATCGTAAAATATTTTTTGATATATCCAGTATCTCAAAATATTTTTTTTAGGTGCGTTCAGCACCCAAAAATATTTTTTGGTTCATTGAGCACCAAGGCAAAAAAAAATATTTCAAGGTGCTAGACACCCCTATAAAATACTTCGAAATGCTAGATGTATCTAAAAATATTTTAGAGTACTGGATATACCTGAAAAATATTTTAGGATGTTTAATGCATCTTAATCCTAAAAAATAACAATAAGTTTCAACTCACTTGTCATCCATACCTTTTTAATTTTTTTTTTTGAAGACCTTATAATGATTATCCTTTTATTAAATTAATTTTGTTGTGTTAGCACCGCCTATTTTTATGATCATTAACTCATTCCAACCACCGCGGGACAATGATTTCATTCAATTCAGCTAGCAAGGACAAAATCATTGCCATTAAACTATTGTACTGAATTGTCAGTATCCCTAAATGCATGCATCTTTTATTGAATCAGTTTTGTTGGTTTGGCCAAAAAAAAAAAGAATCAGTTTTGTTGGTAGAATTATATGACAAAGTCCTAAAAAAAATTATAAGTAAGTTTTAATAGTAATTAAGTAGTTATTATTTATTATTTTGTAATTTGTTATTTTATTGCCACTATAACTTTTTCATAATTATGTCTCTCATCTGAGATTTTATAGTAATTCTTTTTTGGGTTAATTAATATGCAAGTCTTTATAATTTCAATCAATTTTGAATCATATTCTTATATTTTCTTTTCTTTTCATTAGGTTCTTATTCTTTCACATATTTTTAATTAAGTCCTTACATTTATTTTTTTTATCAAATCCTTATAATTTCACCAAATTTTTAATGAGGTCCATCTAATTTTAATTTTTATTTATTAATTAAATATAAAGTTAATTAAATAGATTAATAACGAAATATAAAATATTAATAATAAAATTAAATTAAAAATTATATAATTAAAAATAAATAATATAATTAATAAATTTAGGAAAAAATTTTAAAACAATTAATATTTTCTTGTGGCAAAAAAATAAAATTATTATAATAATTTATTATTTTTAGAATATTAATGTTTATAAACTAATATTAAATAATATATACTATTTTATGTTTATAGAATAGTATCATTAGAATTTATAAAATAAAGAATAAAAAATTCAGGGACTTAATTAAAAATAAAATGAATTTATAAGGACCTGACAAAAAGAAAAATAAATATAAGAACCTAATTAAAAACATGTGAAAGTATAAGGAACTGATAAAAAGAAAAAAAATTATAGGGACCTGACTTAAAATTGATTAAAATTATAAGGACTTGCAGATTAATTATCCCTTTTTTTTATCATGATAAAATTAAAATTACCGAATTTATAGATGAAAGAAACTAAAATATTTTTATCTTTTTTTTATTTTATGTTTAAGATTAATGCTACATTAAATTACGTTATTTATTTTAGCACTCCTTGCATCTTCCACCCATATCAATATCATCACATGTATAAGAAGAATTTGATCAATGACCTCTGTACATTATGATTTTAATTGCATCTTAGATAGAGATGTTATTGCAGGCTGGCAGTGTAGATACAGGCCAGCCCGCAACGGTGTGGGCCTAAAGTGATGCGAGCTAAAGTAACCTGCACCTTAGCATGTCTCAATATTCTTTTTAACAAAAAGCTATTATTATTGGCATGGGTTAGATTTAGTTTGAAATTTTGAAATTGGACTTGGAATCTTGAATTTGAGTAGTGAGTTATAATAAAATAATGTGAAGATTAATTTATAATTTAAGAAGATATTTTTTAAAAAATAACATATATATTTTATAAATAATTAATTTAATTAGTTTTCTTATCCATATTAATTAAGTAGATATCTTATGTGTGTGTGTATATAAGTATCACATGTTCATTTAATTTTATAAAGGCTTTTATAGTAATGCAAGAAATAAATTAACATTTAAAGGCGGACGATGATCTTTATATAATTACACACAAAATCACAAATATATAAAGAGATTAATTACTTATGCAATAACATGAATAAGACAATGTTCAATTGTTCATGTGAAATTTGAGGGTCAAAATATTTTAACTATATTAGGAATTA